CGGCAGAGGGTACGGTGCGGCCGCTAAGCAGGCGTCCCGCCCGCCCCCACCCCACCACTAGGGCCTTGGCAATGCTCGGTGCCTCCAACAGGATTGTGCCTCCAACAGCGTTTTGTTCGTCTCTTTGGCGAGCTGCTCTCCTCCCAGTTTCGTACTCCCTTTACTCCCCCCCCCCTCTAGCTCAGCGGGATTTTTCTTCCCCTCCGCCGACGATGATGCACAGCAAGGGGCTCCTCTCTCCTCCCAGTCCCCAGTCTCATGGGCGGCGTGGAAGATTATCCAGATGATAATCCAGGCATGATGTTTAGCGAACCACCGGCAGACCTGCAGACAATCGCACACAATGGGGCGCCGGCGCCAGCGGCAGCCAGCGGCCGGCAGTACCACTCCGCCGGACCGGACCCACCTCGAGAATCCGAAAGCCCCCCTTCTCTTGCCCCTCTCTCTCTTATTCCTCCCCATCCTCTACGCCCCTCTCCCCCTCTGCCGGCTTTCATTCTCTGTCCAACTCGGTTCAAATACGGCCAGGGGATTACTATTTTGTGTTCAGGGGCCGCTGGCCGGCGGCGGCGCTTGCACGACATCGACCCGCGCCGCGCCTCTGGCTGCACGTCAAGCCGCGTCTGCTTGAATCTCAAAGTCGCCTCGAGCAGTTCCCATTTTTCTTCCAATGCGCGCCAATTAGCTGATAATGACCTCTCCCCAGACGCCACATTTATCCTGCTCTACTTCCGCATTCTGCTGCTTCTCGCGACATTAAAAATGAAATGCACAAATTATTTCCGGCCCTTTTTTTGCTGGTGCCTGCTGGACTGACGTTGCGGGCTGTCGCCTCTCGGCAGTCGCTTTCTAGGTTGCCTTTCCATGAATTCAGTCTGCAAAAATGATAAAAATATTTGTAGTCGGCGACTATTTTCATGTGCGTCCGCTAGCGATGGCAACTTTAGTGCAGGCAAAACAATTCTGTGACCTTTTCATTTCTGCTGCAGAGCCTGCCGTCACACTGCTTCAACGGCACCCTTGCGGTGCGTGAGCTTCGCCTGGACCAGAACGCTCTCCGCGTCCTCCCGCCGCGCGCGCTGCAGGGGTTCGCGACGGTGCGCCTGTCGCTGTCTGGGAACCGCATCGACACCATCCACCCGTCCGCACTCGAGGGCCTCGAGGACACTCTCGAGCACCTGGACCTGGACTCGAACGCACTGAGGTCCTTCCCCAGCGACGCCGTCTCCAACATGAGCCGCCTGCACTCGCTGTTCGTGGCCAACAACCGCTTGAACGAGGTGCCCGTCGACGCCCTGCCCGTCTCGCTGCGCGCCCTCTCCATAGCTGGCAACGACCTTCACGTCCTGCCCATCGGCGCCCTGCGGCGGTGCACCGCGCTGGCGCATCTAAATGCGGGCTACAATGGTATCCCCCACCTGAACGACGGTGACCTGGAGGGGTGGGCGTCGTCCCTGGACACGCTGCTGCTCGCCAACAACAACATCGCGCACCTGGGGCCCCGGACCTTTCGCCACGCGCCGCGGCTCCGCGAGCTCAACCTGTCGTTCAACCGCCTGGCGTCGGTGGACCCGACCGCGTTCGAGGACCTCGCCGACCTGCAGAGCCTGGAGGCCAGCCTGGCCCTGGTGGACGCGGCCGCGGTCCGCTTCCCCGAGGAGGCCCTCCGGCCCCTAGTGAAGCTGCGCTGGCTCGCCCTGGACAACAACGACATCCGGGCGCTCTCGCACGACGCGCTGCGGACGCTGCTCAGCCTTGAGTTCCTCAACCTGGAGGACAACCTGCTGGTTGAGTTGCCGCCCGGGCTGGTGGGCAGGGCGCACTCTCAGCTGCGGGAGCTGCGCCTGGGCTACAACATGCTGCGCGCGCTGCGGCCGGGGGCGCTGCGGCAGCTGCCCGCGCTCCGCACGCTCGTGCTGTCCGGCAACCACATCCACGTGGTGGAGTCCTCGGCGCTGGAGGACCTGCCCCGCCTGGAGACCATCCTGCTGGGCGACAACAAGGTGTCCAAGCTGCAGCCGCGATCCTTCGTGGACCTGCCGTCGCTGTCGAGCCTGGATCTGCACCGCAACCGGCTGCAGGTGTTCTCGCTGAGCGCCTTCGTGAACGTGAGCCGTCTGGAGGCACCCCTGAGCCTGAACGTGTCGTGGAACCGCGTGGCCGAGCTGTACTCGGGCGACACGGAGGGCGCGCCCCTGTACGTGCACACGCTCGACCTCAGCCACAACTTTGTCGCCGAGCTGAAGAGCAAGTTCCTGGTGGGCGTCGGGGCTGCGCTCCGCCGCCTCCTTCTGGCGCACAACCGCGTCAGTCGGCTCGACGGCCTCATCCTGGGCGCGCTGCAGTCGCTCGAGTTCCTCTCCCTGGAGCACAACGACCTCGTGTCCATGGCGCCCAGGGCCTTCCAAGGTTGTGACATGCTGCAGGTGCTGCTGCTGTCGCACAACCACGTCGCCGCGCTGCAGCCCGAGCAGTTCGCGCGCATGTCCAACCTGCGCGTGCTGGACCTGTCCCACAACCGCCTGCGCGCTGTGCCCCCCGGCGCGCTGTCCGGCACGGCTCTCGAGCGGCTGGACCTGTCCCACAACGCACTCGGCGCCGTGCCTACAGCCGCCCTGGCCGAGGTGGGCGGGTCGCTCCGCTCGCTGGGCCTGGCCGGCAACGCCATCCAGCACCTGGATAGCACCGTTTTCCTGGCCACGTCCAGCCTGTGCCAGCTGGACCTCGCCGACAACCACCTGTCGTTTCTGCCGGACAACGTGTTCTCGCCGCTGGGCGCGCTGCTGTCGCTTAACCTCGGGCGCAACCCCCTGCGCGCCAACCTGGCTGAGCTGTTCCACTACGTGCACGGCCTGCGGGAGCTGGGGCTCGACGCCGTGGGGCTCCGCGCCGCGCCGCCCCTGCCGCTGCCGTCCCTCGTCGCCCTCAACCTGTCCGGCAACGCCCTGCTGGCCGCGCCGCAAGGAGAGCTGCCCGCTCTGCGCGCCCTCCATCTGGCCGCCAACATGCTGAACGCACCGCCTGACCGGCCTTTCCCCCTGCTCAGCACCCTAGATTTGTCGAACAACCCTATCAGAGTGAGAATAGTTCGCTATTCCTGCTACTCATTTGCTATGTTTTGAACCGGCTACGACCATATATGTGCTTTCCCCCCTTTTCAGGCACTTGGCAGAACGAGCTTCTCAGAACTACCCCGCCTACGGTCGCTCCGTCTCCGCTCGCTGCCGCTGGAGGCCATGGAGACCGACACCTTACAGCCCCTGCGGCTGCTGCGAGTCTTTGAGGCCGAGGCGTGGACGGGCCTCGGACCTCAAGGCCTCGGCAAGGTGCTGGCCTCAGCGCCATCTCTCAAGGTAAGCACAACGCTCTGCAGATTCTCGAGCAGTCAGCGGGTGGTATGCATGTAAAAATTGAAATTTAATTTTCACTAAAAACCTGCTCTGGAAATGTGAGATCGTATCTTTTCATGCAGTGTTCTAAAAACTGTCGCCATCTTCATTCTGTTTTATTTTTTACCAACGATTTCTTTTCACTTTTCTGCCGCTGCAGGTGGTGTCGCTGACGGTGGGCGCTGGCGCCAGGACCTCGCCGCTGCCCGCGCACGTCCTGGCGGGGGCGCTGCGGCCGGGGGTGCGGCGCCTGGAGCTGTCGGGGCCGGGCCTACGGGCGCTGGGGCCGCACAGCCTCGGTGGGGACCTGCCCGCCGACCTCCGCCGCTTCACCCTGCAGGTACACGGAACTAGGGCGTCGAGGACATCGTGCCTTTTGGAGCGGTCCTGGACGCTGTTCTACTTGTTGCAGGTGTCCGGGACACACCTCACCGAGTTTCCGGCGGCGCTGTTTGCGCGCCTCGCCCACATCCCTCATCTGTCGCTCGACTTCCGGGAGAACCGTCTGCGCAGCCTGGCCCCGGAGACTTTCTACCGGAACTCGTCCTCGTGGGAACGCTCCGGCACCACCCTCATTTCCGGTCAGTCTCGCGACACAAAGTGGCCCGTCTCTTGCCCTCTCTTGCCTCCATTTCCGGTGTTCAGCGACGCTTTTGTCCGCCGCTCGTCCGGAGTTCCGACAAGCCCCGCGGGAGAGCGAGGGGGAGGGTCGCGTGGGGGCCGCGTCGGCCGGGGCCGGGACGGTGTCGGTCACACGGCGGAGCGGGAGTCGGAGTGGCTCTGCCGCCTCCGGGTCGTCCCTGTCTAAATTATTCGGGGGCCAAGCGGACAAGCGACAGCCTGGCACAGACAAAAACAAAACGCGTGAGTGCTCTCTCGTGCTGCCCATAGCATGGCCATCACGACCGCGTCATGATGTCTCTCCACGCAACTCATGCCGCAGCGCCTCCCTCCTCCCTCCCCTCTTCTCACACCGTAGACCCTTCGATCTCTTATTTGTCTCCTCCCGCTCTCCTCTCCCCTCCGCCTCAAGCCTCCAGCCTCCCCGTCGTCGCCCCTGCTGCCCCTGTTGCGCGGAGGTCATGAGCTTGCAAGCTCTCTCACTCTCTCGCTTGCTCTCTCTCTCTCGCTCTCCGACCTCTCTCTCTCTCTCTCTCCATCCATGCCCACGGAGCGGAGAACCAGCAGAACGCCTCCCTCTCTTCTCTTACAGTCTAACTTACAACGGCGCGGCGAATCGAACTGCGCGCCAGCAAAAGAAGTGTTTGCCCGCGCGTTTCTTATCTTACAACCTTTGTTTGCACGCGCCTTTGACTTTGTCCAGTTTGGCGCACGGCAAAGAATAAGGAAAAAGGTGAAGGTTCGGAGAGTGGAGGGAGGGAGGAGTGTCCTCGGACTAGAATCGCGATCGCCACTCTCTCACTAGGGAGGCGCGGGCCAATCTGAGTGATGCGGGCCAACGCCGAGACGGAGTGAGGAGGAAATGGAGCCGCGAGATGGCCTGTCGCACCTCCAGCGCCCCCCTTCCCCCGCCCCCACC